CACCTTATCGATGACTGCAGCTGAAACGAAGTGAAAACACCCAACTGATCCATAGAAACGATTGGGCTGCCACCATGGACGGAGAGGAGCATATTCCTCGCCTGAGTGAGGATTTCTTCTGTGTGTCTGACAGTTCTGCAGAAAGTAAAAAAAGAGAGGCGAAAGGGACCTGCCTGAAAATCGAGGGACAGGAAGGCTATGTGTTGAAGTCCTACAGCTTTCATTCTCACAATGTCACGGATGTAAAGTCGCCAAGCTGCTCTTCAACACTGGATAAAGATTCCCTCCCTAGTTTCCATTTATCTTCTCAGGTAGACAAACGGTTAGACTTAGAGAAAGTATGTGACATTGCTGCATCGTCCCTCAATGATGGACATATAGACATTGAGAAGTATCCAAACGGTGGTGGACTGAGTGAAAATGTCAGAGATCATATTGGGGATGCAAATGGGATGGAAGAGGAAATGCAAGATGACGAAAGGCTAGCATTTGGTGGCGCCATAGCCCCTTTTCTAACCCGAGACTGTGATGACTATAGTAATTTATTAAGCGGATACACAAGCACCCTTTATGATGTTGCTATGGATGCCGTCACTCAAAGTCTTTTGTCGTCGATGAGGGGTCACGGCAACCCGAGGAAAAAATCTCAAGCGTGGAATCACTTCTTCATTTCGCCACGGGACAATACCAAAGCAATCTGTCTGTACTGCATGAAAGAGTTCAGTCGGGGCAAGAACGAAAAAGACCTCAGCACGAGTTGTTTGATGAGGCACGTACGAAGGGCTCACCCGACTGTGCTTATACAGGACGGCGCGGATGCATCCTTCTCCAGCTTGCCTCTTTTTCCCTCATCGTTGATACCTCCCTCCCCAGGCTCACCAAAAAACGGAGACTTTTTTGCTTCTCCCTCAAAGAACACGTCACCGTCCACATCCTCAGCTGAAAACTCAAGCCCATCATCCAAAGAAGTGCTGCCCAAAGTCGAACAAAAAATAGAACAGTTTACAAATGTCGACCCTCTGAGTAGCATCCTTCCACCCTTTCCATCCTCACATTCCAGCGAAAACAACAATAACAACGACGACTTATTAGACGGAGGACCTGAGCGCCCTCCGGGAACCCCGAAAGGCGCCAGTTCCCGTCGCCGGTCAGCCGTTTGGAAGCATTTCTACTTGTCACCTGCAGACAATTCCAAAGCTGTGTGTATCCACTGCATGAATGAATTCAGTAGGGGTAAAAACGGAAAGGATCTTGGGACAAGCTGTCTAATTCGACACATGTGGAGAGCCCACAAAGAGGTTGTGATTGAGGAAAACGGACATGGCAACCACATTCCGCCACCCTATACAAACCCACCCTCGCTGCTGTCCCGCTCACAGATGCATGATGCACTGGAAATTAAAAAAGAGCCCCCCTTTCTTATCTCCTCCCCAGACACCATAGCAGATGAACTACCCCAAAGCTTAGAGGAAAGCATGTTTATTAAGGAGGAGAGAGACCTTATGCATCTCTCAGGGCAGGATTCCTCTTTTAACTTATTTAAAACTCAGGGGGCTGATACACCACTGACTTCCTCACCATACCTCTCTGAAGGCCCCAGCCTCAGTCAGAACCATTTAGTTTTCCAACAGAATAAAAAGCTTATGAAACGGGTGAAATCTGAAGTCTGGCAACATTTCATAGTGTCGCCAGTTGACCAGTTAAAAGCACTGTGCCGTTATTGTCCTTGTGTCATTAGTCGAGGCAAGCGGGGTGACTTTGGCACAAGTTGCCTGATGAGGCATCTGATGAGACGTCACCCAGATGTCATGAAAAACCAAAAAAGCACAGACGAGAAGGAATCGTTCCCTCACCCCTACGCCATGCTCACCTCAACAGATCCAGTCTCAGCCAAAGATGCTGACGACTCTAGCATTGACAAAAAAACCCCAAACCTGCCCATTTTTAGCAAAAGAACGTCAAAACTGTGGAATCATTTCTCCATTTCTGACACCGATCCCACCAAGGTGAATTGTTTGCACTGTAGCCGCACAATTAGCAGAGGCAAAAAGACTACGAACCTCGGCACAAGCTGCCTCTTCAGGCACATGCAGAGGTTCCACGGACATTTTCTCGAAAGTAACAGTTCTATCTCAGGTGTTGTGCCCTCTGCTGAAGTTTGCATTAAACAGGAGCCGATGGAAGCCACCGTTTATCAGCCAGAGGAAAGCAGTGCGAGGTTTGATGAACACCACCCGGTTGCCAAAAAAACCACAAAGCTTATTGCGGAAATGCTCGCACTGGATCTTCAGCCATCAGCTATGGTAGAGAATTCTGGATTGACTAGACTGATAGAGTTCCTCCAGCCTCAGTATTCTCTTCCACCTTCTTCTTACTTTACCAGCACCGCCATACCAGAAATGTACAGTAAGGTGAAAGATGTTGTGCTGACCCACCTAAAAGAGGCTGAAGGCGGCGTTGTCCACTTCACAACAAGTATTTGGGTCAGCAGCCAGACAAGAGAATACTTGACCCTTACCGCTCACTGGGCAGCATATGAGTCAAATCTCCGACCTCAAGGTCAAGACTTCCACTGTTCAGCTCTCCTAAGTGTCTCGCAAATAGATTGTGATCAAGATATGCACGACATCCCAAAGCAGCTGGAGTACCTGTGGGACAATTGGATCACCTCCCCAGGGCTGAAGAAGGGATTCACAGTAACAGATAACGACACCATCAAAAATACCTTGGAGGAGCAGGGCCATGTTACCGTGCAGTGTTTTGGACACACCATAGACCTCATTGTAAGCGAAGCCATAAAAAGCCAGAGATTGGTTCAGAACCTTCTGAGCATAGCACGAAAGATCTGCGAACGTGTGCACCGTTCAGCAAATGCAAAAGAAAGACTGACCGAGCTCCAAAAGACTCACCAGCTGCCAGAAAACCAGCTGATACAGGACGTTCCATCTAAGTGGATGACGTCCTTCTTCATGCTGGAACGCCTGGTTGAGCAGAAGATAGCTATCGACGACTTATCGATAGAGTGCAATTTCAGGGAAATAATCAGCTTCGACCAGTGGGAGGTGATGCTCTCAGTCTGCAATGCACTGAAACCCTTTGAAGTGGCCAGTAGGGAGCTGAGCAATCGCACTGCCACTCTGGGCCAAGTCATACCGCTCATTCACATTCTCACCAGGAAAATAGATCTTTTGTTTGATGAGACCGTTGGCATCGACAATATGCTGATGTCTCTAAAGGAAGCAATGATGAACAGGATGTCGGCTACTCTGCAAGACCCCCGTTATACTTGGGCCACCATGTTGGACCCGAGATACAAAACATCACTGTTCACAGAGGAAGAAGCAGAGCGTTGCAAACAAGACCTGATCCAGGAGCTGGACTTGTCCTCTTCTACCTCAGTTTCAGTTAACTCTCTCCTCCCCAACGGCTGCGGCGAGGACTCCATTTCCCCCGACAACCCTCACTCAACCAGAGACAACCTCTGGCCCTTGATGCCTGAATTCAGGCAAAGCATAAAGGAGGAGGAAGAGGAAAAGTCCGCAGAGATGATTGTGCTGGAGTATTTGGAGGAAGACATCTTAGATCAAAGCTGTGACCCCCTCGACTATTGGAACCTGAAAAAGTTCCTGTGGCCCGATCTTGCCAAAGTAGCCTCCCGTTACGTGGGCTGCCCTCCCACCATCGTCCCAGCAGAGACGCTGTTCAGCACCGCCGGCGTCAACTGTGCCCTAAACCAGCCCAGGCCAATGCTGGACAACTTAGAGGGACTGCTGTTCCTTAAGGTCAACCTCCCCTTGATCTATTTTCAATACTGAACGTTATTGAATATGAATTTGAAGTGTTCTATCAAGGACCAAGTTGCATAGCTGTGAAATGAATGGGCTTGTGTGGGGCTAATTGTAAAATAGGGATTTATACACTGATTCTTAATGCAAAGGCCAGATTGAGGGTTTCTTGTATTGTGTACTACTGTTAAACACTTGGAGCTGTTGTGATGAAACGTCTCAGTGAGAAGTGTATCAGGGAGGGATTTTCTTTGTCTTTGATTTTTTTTTTTTTTTTTTTTTTTTTTTGTAGCTGTAGGGGGATAGCGATGGTGTGTTTGGTTGTAATCTTTTGTTGTTGTTTTTTTTCTGTTGTCGACTCTCTCCTTGTGCCTTAACCAAAACTACTTCAGGTCAAAATGCTGTAAATATTATAGAAATTGTTCTGATCGCATCAGGATCTGTTTTTTATTATTATTATTATTATTATTATTATTATTAATTAAACATAGATGCAAGGAATTTTTTTTCTCAGAATGACAACTTGGCCCAAAAAAAAATGCTGTGACTGAAATATGTTTTAAGTTAATGCTATTTAATTTTTCTTTGTAAATTTGAGGCTTACGGTACTGTCACTTAGAATTTTTTTTTTTTTAACTCACTGAAATGTTTTTAATAAGATGATGTATAATGTGGCTGTATTTTCAGAATAAGGTGGGGTTTTTGGAATACACCAGTTGTCTCACAAGCACAATTTAAGTTTATGTCCAGGGGATTAAATTATGGGTTTATTATTGATGAACAGTGTACTGTACATTTTTATATTAAATGACTTCTGAACCTAATTTGATAAACGTTTTAGCATTCAGACTGGAAACATGCAAATTTTGTGGTCATTTGTAAATAAAGGTTTTTCTTGAACAGTATTCTTTTTTTATTATTATTATTATTCTAGCTTTTGTGTGAAGTTTTGAAGGATTTAAAGGGATAGTTCAGGAATGATAGAGGCAGTTTTTTTTATTTATTTATATTTACAAATAGCTTTTTACCTGCAGTAGGTGATTCTAGTCTTCGTTTAGCATAGGTCCAGTTTACTTAATGTACTGGAACATTTAGTTCAAGAGCAGCTAAGCCCAAAGCTGATTCTTACCATCATAAACGACAGCCTCAAAACAAAAGATTAAGCAAATGCTGTCTTTTTCTTTTTTTTTTTTTTGCTTTAGTGGTCACAATAACTGCTATAAAAGGGTGAAATGTGGAGTTTAAGTGAATGCTGCCTTCTGCTTTATTTTTTCAGGGCATTTTCAAGAATGTAACCATTTAAAAAAGGTGAAAATCTTTATTTTTACGTTATTCCTGATTTCCGGCGCTACATCAGCACCACATAAAACACCTGTGAAAACGATTATCCAATGCAAAGTTGGCAATGATAGCTGTTACACAAATCAAATCACTTTTTTAAGATGTTATTTAAGGCTACGAACATTTTGGTTTGGCCTCAAACCAATTAAAGCCGTTAGCTTTATTCTCCAGCACCAACCACTCAGGAGTTTTACTACCCCTCTCCTTAACCTCATGAACTATCTCTGTAAGGATAACAACATGCTTTCATTTTCTCTGGCTTTTATTCATTTACAAATCAAAATGTATAAACGATTCTCTGGTGTAAACAATAGCTGGATGCATTTGCTGGGGCAGAAGATCATAGGCGATCTGTGCTGGTATGTGACTTTTTTTTTTCTATCAATCTCTAGCAGCATGATTTTTAATTGTCTTTTGTCACCTGATAGTTCTAAATTATATTTCCAGCTCATGTTTCTCTCGGTGTGCCCTCCCAAGTCTTGCTCTGCATCAGCACAGCTTTCCTCGCTAGGTGAACTCTGACAGGTGGGAAGTGAGCCTTGCTAAAGGCGATGTTGTTGAAACCTTCGATGTAGACCAGGGGCTTATGAGTGTGGTGCAGCTGCTGTATCTTGGTGATGTTCACCTCCATCAACAAGTGTGAGTACCGCTGGAGCTCAGGGCTTCCGGCGCTTATGTCTTCTCTTTTGTCATATCTGTAGAATTGAAGATTATTTATTAGAAAGATGACCAAAATGAGGCACGTTTTTATGTAATGGCACAAAAGTAGCATCTTCCCACTCGCAATTCACTGGTATCTGGTAAAAACTTGTAAAAAGCATCAAAATGACTGACAGAAAAAAATCACAGTGAAAAACAAACTGGAGAGAGGAGTGGTTGGAGATAATTGTTTTTTTCCTTTAAAACAAGAAAAATATGAAACCTTTTAATGAGGAGTTTACCTTTTAAAGCACAGCGTCATAGAAGTTGTATTAAGAAGCAAAACTTCTAATTTCTTTAGGGCGTCATTATGTGGCAGTCTTGATTCTTGTGCGTTCCTCATTTTTGAGTCAGAAAATGGCAAGAAAAAGAAAGCTACTTGCCTGTTTCCTTGGGAGATACATTTAAGGAATTATCTATTTCTCTCAAACATGATAGAAGTATAAAATCACATTTTAACAAAGAATGCAAAAGACATATTTTTGTGCCACATTAATCCTGAAATTCTCAAAAAGGAGTAGGAAGAAGTAAGAAACTTAAACATAAAGGCTTATTTCTATTAGCCCCTCTCCAAAATAGGAACAATAGGGAAACATGCCATTTTTACAAAGAACATGTGATTTCATAATTGATGAAATTGTAGAAGAAAATAACTAAATTATAAGCATCTAACACTGCAACAGGACCCGATTTTCTTTCCATATTTCAGCAGCGTGGAATGATAGATGGGTTTAATTGAATGCCTTTTACATTTCTCTAGCAGGGGTGTCAATAACTGTGAAGAGTAATGTTTGCACAACACTTACCTCCAGTTTTTGTTTTGCTCTAAGAAGCGTGACACTCCTGTTTCGGCAGCAAAGCTGTCGATGTGAACAGAGACGTCTGGGGGGTTGGGAGGAAAAATGTGCGCGCCACGTTAAAAATCCAGACGTGCGTGTTGATATTAGGAAATAAGTTTGCTTAACTGCAGTTGTGACCTGCTGTGGCTGGCAACAGCCAGTGTAGTTCCTGGATTCCCTTGCCACCCGGGTAGTTGTGATGGGAAACATACAGGCAAAGGCCAGTGTACAATGAGTTGATCAGCAGCTGGCCAACCACAACTGCAGAGCCCAGTTTGTACATCCAGGATTTCTGATAGTTGCACAATCTGAAGCAAAATGAAGGGGGAAAAAATGACTGAAATAAAATAAATATATATAACACATGATATAAGAATTTTTAAAATCAATTTTAACTTGCATGAAGGAGCAGCCGCGTGCAGCAGCCAGATTGAGCACAGGGAAAGTGTAAATGATGAAACGCAGCTCCTTGTGAGGCAGCAGCGAATAGATGAGGATGAAGCCAACTGTGGGGAGCAGCAGCAGCCTAATCCGCCTGTCCAGGAGGCCGAGAGGCACGAAGAGCAGCGAGCAGCCCAGGGCTCGAGGCACGGCGGAGTAAAAATACCACAGAAAGGGCGAGGTTTAATGGAGAGAGGAGCTAAGGAGAACTTGGGAGTGGACAGAAAAGAAACATTTGGGGAAATCATTACGATTTCCATTATAAAACAAACAAAAAAATAAAGACAGTTGTACATTTTTCCCCTATACAAATTATGTTCACTGCATTTTTTGCACAAAATCATTCTTCGATAATGACCTGTTTTTGAGGTCTCTGTCACTTTAAACCCGTCCAAACTGCTTGTCAGCCATTGTACAGCGCATACAGAGGTAAAACCAGCTGACCAAACATGCTGGAGATCACCTTGAGCTGCCAGGTTCAAGCAGATCCGTTTGAATCTAGCCTCTTATCTAGGTTTGCTGAGTAAGAGGCTAGACTTCGCCGGGGTTGCTAGGTAAGGGGCAGTGCCTGTTGGTTTGTGACATCATATTCTGTAAATGGCTCTGTGGTTGTTTTTTAAGTACTTGGATTGTTTTTAGAAGCAGAAGAAACCCAAATGGAAGTACAAAAAAGCAAAATATGACGTTTGCATTATACGTTCCCTTTAAAAGGATATTCCCCAGTTGGAGCTTTTGTTAAGAATGGTATTGTACCACAACACCTGCCCCTCAGGCCACAGAAGCTTTCTCCAAAAGAAGGTGTCGACAGTCACCGTCAGAGCTGCAGCAAAAAATAAAGCAAACATATGTCTGGTTTAATTTCATGCAATGATTAAATTAATTTTAAAGAATGAATTCATTTTCAATCTATTTTGAGAGATGCCAAGCATTCCTCCCACCTCATTAGATATTGTAAATTCTGCTCTCACCAAGGGACAAGAGTCCAGCAGGAGCAGCGTGGTAAATCAGCTGCAGCAGCCCCAGCCTCCTGCTCAGCAGCGCCATCAGCAGCATGAGGCCCAGCAAGATGCAGAGCTCGGATCGGATCACAGTGATGACCAAAGCGGAGAGGCTGATGAACCAGCTGTGTTTCTGAGCCATCCAAGACGTGAACGCGACAAGAACTTTGGGAGGAATTATGCAACCATAAAGAAAGTAATGCACCAAGATTCCTTCGGTAAAGATGTTAGTGTAGCGTACCTATTGGCAGCGCAAAGACATTGGGGAGTGTCCTGGTACTGTAGAACATGAGGTGGAACTGGGAGGCGCAGGTCAGACAGAAGAGACACGCAACTGTGGAGCCAAACTGCCTCCGCACTTCTCTCTGCATATGCCACAGAGCGCCGATCACGCAAAGCCCCAGCAAAGCCCGGACTGAGCAGAACGTACATTAGAAATCCTGACATTCAGGTTAAGGCGGTCATTGTCTGTTTGTTTACCTACCTGTAAGCTGAGTGTAGAATTTCGGTGCCTCCAGCAGAGATGATAAAGAAACGAGCGGGAAGCAGAGCGTGGAGAGGAACAGGGGTCCGAGGAAAGTACGCGGCACAACTCCAGGGAATTCATGATGGTCATACTGAGAGAGAAGCGATATTTTCTAGTTTCCAGGGCACTCAAACATAATTGTTTATGAAAACAATTATGTTTTAAACAATATATAACCTTCCTCCTGAGTGGGAAGTAGTTATTTAGCTAAGGAGAAAAGAAGATTATTAAGCAGGTTACAAACCAAACAGGTTTATGCTATAATAACTGTGTTGTTTGTCTTTAAGTTTTCACAATTGAGTGTTCTTGCTTTTCATATTTGGATGCAATTCCAAATGTGTTTAATGTTTCTGCTGTAATAGCAGGAAATGCGTAGGCTTCTTTCCTTTACCTGGGTGCAGCAATAAGTGTGGGAGGGGGAAAAACTCAAATGATTCAACCTAGTTTTATTTTCGCTCTCAGTGAAAGAACTTCAGAAGCTGTATGAATATTTTACAGTTTTGAAATTATAACTTTTTAAAACTATAATATACCACGATACTGGATATAAGGCCAAAGATATACTGTACATATTTTATGAATCTGATACTTCTCAATCAAAACCTTAACATCTCAAATATTGCTTAATGAACTATAATGGACATATTATAGTGGAAAATGCTACTATAACAACATCATAACTAAATGTGTCAGAAAAATTTTATCTATCTTGCACAAGTTCTATTACGCCTACAAATCAGGTAAAAATAAATAAATAGGTTTTAATCAATCAAATGTTGTTTGTATAGCACATTTCAGCAGCAAGGCATTTCAAAGTGCTTTACATCAAAATTTCATTTTTAAAAAGTATTATTTTTAATATAAATATATTTTTTATTTGTACTTTGATAACAGCCTAAATAAAGGCGTGAACTGTAGACATTCAAGCAACTAGGAGTTTTGGTTTGAATCCTCTGTGCGCATGCGTGTGATTTACAGTCTACATCTCTGAAAGTCAGCTTACCTTGTCAAAATCAAGTCTGTGGTACAGAATGTCGTGCGTCGCCTGTAAATTAAAGCTTTCTTCGACTTTCGTGAAAGGACAAATGAATAAATGCAGAAAACTCAGAAAAATTAACAGAAGCAGCAAAGGCATCTCCAAAACATTCTTCTTTTCCGCCATGACAGCTTGAGAGCCGAAAGGTTTTACTTCCGGTCGACACAGGAAGTGAACGCTCTCAAAGTGCTTTGAAATCGTATAATATTAGTAGTTTCATCCAAAAACGTGTCGGCACCTGTTTGGTATTGCAATAAAGAAGTTTTCTATAGTTAAAAAATATGTTTTTGAATAAAACAAATAGGTTTGCTAAATTTTCCACGTGTGGCTAGCTTTTACGTCCCGCTCGTGGCGGCTTGTGATTGGCTGTTGCAATGATTGACAGGCATTTTAACCAATTACGACAAGCCACAATCAGCCATAGAGGCTGACGCGGAAAACTAGGAAAGCATCTTTTTTTTTTTTTTTTTTCTCCTACAACCGGCATGTAAATATTACTGAGCTGCGCTTTGCGTAGACACAATTATCGTCGGTTTGATGTTAGGAACAGCTCATTTAAATATTTCCGACCGTTACAGAACTTTAAAGCGAGGTGCGAACCAGTTAGCGAAGAGTGCTGCTGCCATGATAGCGTGACTTGAGTCTGTTCGGAGGAGAGATGCGGTCCCCCTGCCTTCCCCAGCTGCGGCTCATCTCCTGCTCCGTTATCCTTGTTTTGCTTTTCCGAGCCGGCGACACCAAGGGAGATTTAAAAAGCGCCTGCAGCACCTGCCGGCAGATTACTGAGAACTTCAACAAGGTCAGAGATCTTGTTCAAAACACCCGTCTTGCGAAACTATTCAATCTCGCGGAACAAAATGCTGCTCTAGACGAAAGGAAAGGCATTCATGCTTTTAATGCATTCAGTTGCTGCTTTTTACCTGAAGTGTGTGGCGGGCATTTGTGCTCGCTTCTTTTTCAAATCTGGCATTCCTACATAAAATTGAATCCAGCTCGTCAAAAGTGTTTGTTTGCAAACTGACTGCATTATGAACACAGCAGAAAGGTCAGGCGTGAAACTTTGAGAGGAAGAATTAGTGTTGGATCATAAACCAAAGTCACCACCAGTCCTGTAAGGCACATCTGATAAGTCGACCTTATTGGTTGAGGGTGCAATACCTTTGCTTCTTTCCACTTGGTATAATGAACTTGGGTTTGTGGTTTTCTTCTTTTTTTTCAGGGCTATGATAGAACAGCAAAGCAGAACTTTGGAGGAGGCAACACAGCATGGGAGGAGAGAAAACTGTCTAAGTATGAGACGAGGTGAGAGCGGTCCTCTAACTCCAGGTCGACCTGATGCAGAGCCGTTTGACCTCGGCAGTGGAAGCTTATCTATGTTTTCAGATAACGGATCATTAAGCAACAAGGTTGCACCAAACAGAAAACCTTTATTTTCACTTGTCGCCTCCTGTGTCGTACCTCCCAGCTTCCTTTACCTCTGTGCCCTGTGAGGATATACCCATGTCTGTCTTCCTGCAGTGAGATTCGCCTGATGGAGATCTTGGAGGATCTGTGTGACAGCAGCAGCTTCGAGTGCAACCGCATGGTGGAGGAACACGAGGAGCAATTTGAGACCTGGTGGTTTAAAAAGTGGGTGTCCGCTGAGATTGATAGAGGAACTGTCAACGAGCATGAGCTGATGTTCTGAAAAGTGTTTAAACATAAGCAGTTATCTAATCTGGGACCTTTTTGCCCCTGAATTATTTCACGGTCAGGGTTAACGAACTAGCTATTCCCCAAAATATTGAAAAACCAGTTGAACTGAGCAAGTTTTTGCAGAAACTTTCTACATTAATTGAAATCCACCTCTCCCCATTTAATTCCCTTCTGTGATGCAGGAAAACCAAACATCCAGATCTGCACAAATGGTTTTGCATAGACACTATCGAGGTCTGTTGTCCAAAGGGAACATTTGGACCTGACTGCAATGGTAAGAAACTATTCTAACGACCAGAGGAGAAATGGAGCTGGCTGTAACATTTGACGCACCAATGATATTTATAATTTTGCTTCTGAAGCTTGTCTAGGTGGCTCGGAGAGGCCCTGTCATGGAAACGGGGCGTGTGACGGCGACGGGACCCGCGGAGGCAACGGGAAGTGCAGCTGCGACCACGCCTATAAGGGGGAGTTCTGCTTAGACTGCGTCGATGGGTATTTCAACCAAGTCAGAAACGATACCTTCTCTCTGTGTGCAGGTAAACTTTAGGCCAGCTTGTACAGGAAGCGACACGGTTCAGTGAATAGGTCAATGATTCAGGGTTTACATCCTGCCACAGAGTGCGACACATCGTGCAAGACCTGCACCGGCGCAACCAATCAGGACTGTGGCGAGTGCAAGGAGGGCTGGGAGGAGGATGACCAAGAAGCTTGTGTCGGTAGGAGGAATACCGTCCTGTTCTGCAGACCCTGAGTGGGATTGAATTATAAAGGAAGACTTGATGTAGGGTTGCACATTTTGAAACGGTTGCCTTTGTGTTGTCGGCCGAATGATTCGCAGATGTGAACGAGTGTGCCAAAGAGCCTTCACCGTGCAAAGAGGATCAATACTGCCTTAATGCTGAAGGTTCCTATTCCTGCAATGGTAAGGTTGCGATTCGTTTCCTCAGATTAAAGGGGGAAAAAATTCTGAAATAATCACAATATTTTCAACCTTTTTACAGCAGCTGAACATTGACTTAATTAGTTTTGATCGCTTTGCACACATACAGGTTGTGACGAGGCGTGCACCGGCTGCACTGGAGGTGGTCCTGATGAGTGCCAGACTTGTGCTGCAGGCTACCAGGACGTAGAAGGGACCTGCACTGGTAGGGTTGTAAATTATAGAAGAAAACAACTGTATTACGATGTGTTCAGAGTCATTTTTGCAGATATCTTTTGCTTATTGTTGCACTTGCTTTCTAGATATTGATGAGTGTTCACAGTCGGAGCCTGCGTGTGTGAAGGAGAACCAGGTGTGTGTCAACAGTAAAGGCAGCTTCATCTGCATCTGCTCCAGTGGCTATGAGGAGAAAGATGGCGAGTGTGTCCAACAGAGCGGTGAGGGTCACTACGTTAAATACTCAAACATTTCACCATGTGTAGCACTGCTCTCACCTTTCTCCTTCCTGTTGCCTGTAGATGAAAAGGAGGAGTTTGAAGCATCGGAGACGACTGCAGGGCCACATGGGGAGCTCTGATGTTGAAACTTGGACCAGTATATGAACAAACTGAACTTATTGACTTTTTTTTATTTTTTTGTTTACTTGGACCACATTCAATATACCATGTTTTCAAAACCCGCCAGTGTTTTCCAGCAGTGGAATTGGACAGAAACAGGACATTTTATGCCACTGTTCATTTGTTTTAATAAAGTTGTTTCAATAAAAGTGAATAATGTTGAATTCAATGTGACTCTATGTTAACTAATCAAATACTTTGTTTTATTTTATAACTTTGAGAATGGAGCAAGTTTAACTAAAGCAGGAAATTATTGGACAATCAAAGAAGGAAAATGGGAACTGTTGCAGTAATTTGAAATCACCACATGATGGCAGTGTTAAGTTCCCTCTCAGAGGCTCATAGTAAAGGAGCCAATTGGTAAGAAATTGCATAATTGTACGCATAGAAGGCAATTACACAAGTGCTGGTAAATCAACTGCTATAAAACAAAGATCTTAGGAAGTAAAATTTGTTTCAGAATGCCATGAAACTGAAATACAAGATCTGAGTTTTATTAGAGGTGGGCAGGTTTGTAATGTCAAAAATACATTTGGTATTTTGAACACAAATTGATTTACAGACATTTCATTTTGAAGTTTTGAGTTATTTGAAGTAACTATTTGATTTGACAATTTTCAAATTGTTTTAGCAAGCCAAAAGAAACAAGTCACGTCTGCGTGCGTAAAAATTTTGAAAAAAAAAACAAAAACTGCCCGACAACGCAGACGTTTCGAATGTCGCAGTGACTCGGGATTGCCACACGGTGGCAGTGTTGGCTGTTGAATTTTCGATTTGCCGCGCTCACATGTCTGGAACGGATCCAGGAAGCGCGGGATGCTGCGTTGGTGTTTCAAATCATCTTTACTGTGCACTCGGAATCCTTAGTAATACAGTATTTCCTCTTGCATTGATCCTCTTACAGTCTGTGGTAATAAAAGTACATTTTAAAGCTTAATTATTTAAGAGGTTAGTCTTAAATCTGAATTACTGTCTGCGAGCTGGACACAAGGGGAGGTAGTCATGTCTCTTCCCAACAATTGCCCACCCTCTACTCTCTCCTCCCGATCAGCCCTCTCCGCTGTCTTTGGGATGATGTAAGTTGTTTTGATTTGCCGGATCTTGCTGAAGGTGGAAGGAGGCAGCCGGTTGAGACCTGCCCGAGCCGGCAGCAGAGATGCCGAGTTGCCCTGCTCCGACCCTGGCACTCAGCATGCTGGGCTCATCGCGGCGGAGGCCTGGACCACGCTGTTAGAACCATCTTGTGTCATTAAATATTTTATCCATAACTCAAAAACAGAAAGTGTTTGCTTTAGGAGATGGATGATATGAGGTACTTGGCAAGGAGCGTGAGTCAGCATCCTGACTAATACATGAGTCAGTGTACCTAATACTGATGCCTCCCTTTTAGGTGAATTTATCCTTCATCAGATGCATATTTGATGTGATGTTTTATGTCCTGGAGATGAGATGTGCTCCACTGAGCCTACCTCAGTAACAGCTTTAGTGGGAAAGTCTGTTGCAGGAACCTGATGCTTAATGACAGTCAAAGCAGATTTGCTTTTTCCTTCACTTATTCTCCCAATGCTAACTAAAAACAACCAATAAGAGCCAGAAGGCAAATGAAACAGGCTTGTAGGGGTACAGCATTGTCTTTTTAATATCTTGACTGATCGCTTGAGATTTTTTTTCCCCATCATGTCAGATAAGGCAGCATTGTAGTTAAGTAGTTCCTTAAGGTATGTCCACGTGTTCAACAACCTCAGAGTCTTTTAAAGCTTTGACGTCACCTTGTGGATTTCCCCAAATTGCCTAAAATTGCTTTTTTGTGTATGTGCACTTCTGACTTGGCAAATTACTCTTGGGCCACATCTTAAATTCATTTACCTTATGAACAACTTGAA